GGGGCGTGACATTCTTGACTGCCAGGTAAATATTCATGGCGGTCATTCCTCTCTCACTACCCTCCTTCTAAAGATTTAATGTAGAAAACCTTTCAAATGTGTGGGATTTCGCCAAGTCCTTCAACATACCATCAGTCATGCAGACTTGCATCAATGTGATGCAAGACCAATTTCAAAGTTTTGTCTCCAATGAGCTGCTTGTGCGTCTGCTGGCTGAAATTGTGCTCAGCCTGCTTCAAGTGGATGATTTGCCAGTTGCATCTGAAGAGGAAGTTGTGGCGGCTATTTCTGGCTGGATATGCCCACGCGGATCGGTCGATCAACCGAGGCTGGATTTGCACGCAGCAGCGATATTGAGTGAGGTTCGATGGTGCCAGACAAATTGCCAATTCCGAGAGCATCTTTTCGATAGTAACCAGATATTTAAGAAGTCCAGCGAATGCCTGGAAGCACACATTGTCAATCACTATCCTTATTTTCTCACTTAAGTTGGCTGCTATTTCAGGTGGAGCAGTATATCGGCGCTCCGGCCACGGACAAGCCTCCATGCCCTTTCTCAAACGTCCGGCCGCGTCAGAGGGCGGTGGTACTTGCCGGCGTGGCAGACGAAAAGATACCACGCCCAGTGATGTTGCAGAAAGACAAGTTGCTGTAGCAGTCAGCCAACCGTCACCACCACCACCGCCACCTAATGACTCGTTCTACCTCTTTGGACCGGAGGATAAAATTCATAACAAATGGTCTGTCGTGCGGTACGATCCGCGCCAGCAGCAGCCCACAGCCCGAAATGAAGGAACCGCGCTGGAATGCCACCTACAGTATCGTCGGTGGTGAGTAATCTGACAGTTTACCACTTTGCCTCTCCCCTTTTTTCGTACTGTATGCCTCCCTCCGCCGCAGCAGTGCTGTTTCTGTCGTGGCAGAATTAGGGCACAGTCGCGTCTGTCATTAGAACTTGCCCTATGTCGGAAGCTGCAGACACGTTTAAGATCCAACCTTTTCTCTCTGGGTTTCGTTTTGTTGTTTGTAGGCGTACAATATTAATTAGGACAGCTAAGACCGCTACACCCCAATTTGCGCAGCTGTTTTTTTCCCCAGGCGAACTGGAAGATTACACTTTAGTCATGGGCTCTCTTTAAATGCATGTCCTCATTTTACCAGCTTGTATATACAAACTAGGCGACTATAACGAGGAAGAAACGCCGTACCTTTTTTT